ACTGAACTGCAATCATCTGTAACTTCCAGATGATGCCCTTTTACATGAGCTGAATAACAGCTGTTTATTTGTTCTAAGTATACATTTAATGCCAGTTATTTAGGAACATTTTTACTTTCACGTGCATAATCATGAGTAAAATGTATGCTAATTTTAATCTAACCTGTTGTGTAGCTTTATGTTTGCAATAAAGCTTCTTTTCTACCCATTAGATGTGAAGACTTATTTTCTCTTTCACATTGTCTAAAAAAAAAAGGCCATACAGGTAAGATTCTTAGGCAACTTTTTATGGACTCTGAATGATGAAGCTTGTATTATAGAATTTATACTATCTTCATGCAATTACTGTACGCAAGAAGTTTATCTCAAACCCTCATGGTGAATATCTGTGCTAAACTTGTTGGTTAAGTTCTTCAAGTCCATAAATAAATTTAAAAGTTTTGCAATGAAAACACTTAGTTTAAGATATGCAATTATTAAAGTTTAAATGAGTACTTACGTATTAGAACAACCACCTTGGAACAGTTTGGCAGTTTTTTACAGAAGAAAAAGAATGATAACTTATAGCAAAAAATTATTACAGACATACATATATATACATTTTACATTTAATTGGGTATCTATCTTGAAATTAAGCAATAAACGTACTCACAAGCAAATTTTTTCTTTGTGTTCAGGAGGAAATGTCATGGTGATTGCTTTAAGAACACGTTTGAAGCAATTGCTCCCTTTATTAATTCTGCAGGAAAATACTATACTCCTGCAGAAGTTTTATTGCAATTTCTTCTACTGCAGGTATATCCAACAAGCGCATATTTCAAAATTCTGTTAAAGATGAAAAATATCATGGTTTGTCTATACAAACCATCAAAAGTTGGAAAACAATAAAAAAAAAAAGCACGCACATGAAAATGAGAGCACGGCTTGTTAGAGCAAATGAGGTAAAATAATGCAAATAGTCGCAAAACTACTAATGATTTTTTTCAAAATGTGCTATTTGCACACAATTTGAAATGAAGAATCAAAATAAAGAAGGAGATCAAAATGTCATTTTAGCAGGGGAAAAACTGTTTTGTCAAAGTGTATATGCTAAGACAATGCTACATATCAATCTACTGTATAAGAGGATGTATAGAAAGTAATGACCATTTTATTCTTTGCAAAGTCTTAATGCATTTTATGCCCTAACAGTCAATGTCTGAAAATGTAAAAAAGTAAAGTTTTCTAATAGTGAGACTGATATTCATTGAAATAATACCTGGCTGTTGATAAAAAAATTATTTTATTTACTTACTTATTTTTCAAAATGGAAAAGTGACAAGTCATACTGCTTACTATGTGAGTTTCAATACGAGTACTGCTATACAAGTTAGAAGCATCCTAGAAAGTTAGGGTGATGTCATCAGTGAACATCAACTCCACCAGTGATTTAAAATGCTTCAAGTGAAATTATTGCTGCAGTAACCTTGCAAAATGTGGCATATCACCAAATCCAGATGATGACACTGGTTAGGTTAATATCAGAACATTCATGTTAGTACACAGTGTTATATCAAACAATGTACCTGAACTTGGATTGATAAATAAAAACACAATTTGATTATTTCAGTTCTCAGCTGAGAGCTTTAACAAAAGATCAAACATTGGCTTTCTCAGTGACCCAATTTTCTGAAATGCATCACCACTTATGACAAAAAAAGAGAGAGAGAGATGCTTTATATTATCATCCAAATAAAAAAACAGTGGCTGAAATCTTGGCCAAACACCACTTCCAAAAGCTAAACTTGGCCACAGAAAGTCCATGCTTCACATATGGTGTATCAGATGAACGGCTCGTTTTCAGAAGCCAGGGCAAGAAAAGCTTCATTCTATAAACAGTTATGTGAAATGACAACCATATCTAACAACCAGATCTAATCTCATCCCAGGTTTTTTATGCATTGAGATATTGCTGATAAACCATCTGTTTTTCATTATCTGATGAAGAGTAAAATTTTGCAGAATTCATTGCTGTGATAACTGTTTTAAAAGCATAACCCCAGAGAGGATAAGAATATGTAATTAAGGGACGTAAAATTGGCCTTTTAGATGAGTAACTTATTTATAGATGAAATGGAGTTCTTGGAAATAAAGGGGGTGAATTAATGGCATGGGTTTTCGTCAAGAATGACAAGTTGCTTCGCCTCTAGAATAACAGTATTGTACATAGGTTTAGATCTTGTTTTCAAAGATTAACATAGCTTCAGACTATTATTATGCATTGAGATATTGCATTGAGATATTACATTATTTATGCATTGAGATATTGCTGATAAACCATCTGTTTTTCATTATCTGATGAAGAGTAAAATTTTGCAGAATTCATTGCTGTGATAACTGTTTTAAAAGCATAACCCAAGAGAGGATAAGAATATGTAATTAAGGGACGTAAGATTGGCCTTTTAGATGAGTAACTTATTTATAGATGAAATGGAGTTCTTGGAAATAAAGGGGGTGAATTAATGGCCTGAGGGTGAATTAATGGTATGGGTTTTCGGCAAGAATGACAAGTTGCTTCGCCTCTAGAATAACAGTATTGTACATAGGTTTAGATCTTGTTTTCAAAGAGTAACATAGCTTCAGACTTATGTAAGTTGATTTTAATTGTCCATTTCTTACAATTCATGCCAAAGCTTGTATAAGGATGGAATTACGAAACTGCCAGAAAAATGGAAGATGGTTGTTGAAAACAAAGGGTAATATATCAATGAAGGAAAAAAAATTCTTCTTAAGAAAATTTTTTCTTTAAAATTCTTATAAAAATGGCCATTACTTTTTTCATAACTATATATATATCCTAAGTCATCCCTTTCAAATACGAAAAATGCAGTTTAAATTTTGTCAGTTGGCTAATTAAAGACAGAAGAAACAGAACTAGTTTATTTATTTCAGTGAACCTTTAAACAGGCATAGCTCATAATTATACTACATATTTAGAACAAGTAAGTAGTAAAAGTAGTATGCAGTACAAGTCGATAGATGAGGCTACTAGCATTCACTACTTTGAACCAGCTGGTCACATTAGGTTTTGAGGACTCAGTTCCAAATGAAATGGAAATCAAACATAAAATTTTATTAACATTTTACTGCAATGCAGCATGCAATTCCTGCAAAAATTAAAATGACCCTAACTTCAATATATTTTTATAATATCGTATTTTGCCAATCTTTACTATACAACCACTATTATCTTTGATTTATTTTGAAAATTTGCTGTTGTCAATCTGATTCATGTTATGTACAAGGATGATCAATTTATCAGCTCTATTTCTTGTTGGTAAAGAAATGAAAGTCCAAAGAAAAAATTACCAAAAATAACAAAAATTTTTACTGATTGGAGCTCTAATCAAGCTCAGTCCAGCTGCATGAAAGCATTACTGCTATGGTGAATACAGCAGAAGGTGGTGTGGTGTATTTAATTATGGCAAAGCACACTAGGGCTATCTGCCTAAGGGGAGAGATGCCTTCGTGGAGGACTTTCTAAGGAAAACTGGCTCGTATACACGTTACACATGGGGAAAACCACGAAAACACCCCTGCAGCCAGCCCGTTTGCGGGATTCGAACCTTGGGCCGAACTACCAGTGTTCAGCAACTTTACCACTCGGCCGTTGGTGTGCCTCAATACAGCAGAAGGAATATGTGCCTTTGTCAAATAAAAGAGGAGGGGCTCAGAACAGGTTTTTCCACACCTCTTGATTGGAACACAGGTTTCATTTGGTTTACTTGATTATGACAAAGCACTTGAGAGTTATTTGCCTAGTTGGAGGGATGCCTTCGTGGAGGACTTTCTATGGGGAACTTGCTGGTATACATGCTAAACATGGAGTACACCATGAAAATGGCCAGAAAAAATATTGTTTGAAGCAAGAGAGGAGGGTTAGATTTAGGGATGAATGGCAGGTAAGTGGATAAAACTGAAATGCCCTTGATTTGAAGATCTAAAGTGGAACAAGATGGAGGTCTGCTGAGTTTATTATTTACAATGCTCAAGATGTCCATTATAAAAGACATAACACTGGACCTTCACTCAAACATTCCTTATGGATGTTTTAAGTTTGAAATAACCTAATATAGGTTAATTAGAAGAATCAAAAACAAACAAATTTTTGAAAACCAAAATCATAGCTTAACCAGTTTGCTCCTTGATTTGGAATTCTTGGGAACTTTGAAAATGTTTCTGCATAGCAATCTCATTATGACAATTTCCACTCCACACATATTAAAGACATGGAAAAACCTATATGGTGACTCATCTCTCATCTTTAAAAAAAAAAACAATTCTACACAAAGCAATACAACTTCTACTATATTCCCTTTAACATTAACGTTGGTTTGTTGAGATCACGGCAAAGCACATTAGGGCAATCTGCCTAAAGGGAGAGATCCCTTCATGAAAGTTGAAGAAGTTGGACTGCACTTGAACCAAACAGCACTCAGGATAACTTCTTGCTTGTAAATATTTAAGCTAAACTTTTTCATTTTCTTATTACTCAGCAGCACAATTTTTTTTTCCCAAGTTTCTCATTCCTTATTTTAATTCTCCTAAAATGGATTCATTATTCTTCAACTATTCAATTTCTTATCATCCTTAAAATGAAAGAAATTTTACTATAATGAAATGATGTAAATTTGAAAAAAATGACCTTTAAAAAGATTTGCTTGCACAATGCTGTAAGAGGGTTTCAGATAGTTTTTATATGAATAAGAGAGAATTCACCTCATAATTTGCATCACAAAATACATAATCTAAAGTTCATATATGCTAGATATAATTTAAAACTTAAATAAAAAAATTTTTAATAGTACTTGATAGAGTTCATTGCAGGTGAAAAAATAATCATTTTTAATAACAATGCTAAAGCACTTCATTTCAAGAAATCAAATTTAAAGTGATTTTGATATCAAAGAATTCAATAATAAAACTTTCCATTGCATCTCCATAAAGCACAAAATACATACTTGTTATCTTTAATTAAAAGTATCAGCTCCTGCTCAACTTTCAAAAGCATCAATCGATCTTTCTGGTTCTTATGAAGAGTGTCCACAATAAATTGTTGAAGATCAACACCAGATGAATCTGTATATGTTTCAGTGCTAGAATCTAAAAGAAGATAATGACAAGAATGAAGTGTAAGCTCAGGTGGGCAGCTTATTACAATATATAATACCCAAACTTTTAAGTGTTTTTCAAACTTAATTTTTTTACCACAAAAACAGGATTCAAAAATGCATGTACCAAAAGGTGTGCCAGTTTACTTCATTTTGATCATTCATTTAAATCTTTTGTGTAAAAATTATACTACCAAATGCAATATGCCATAAGTGGTATCTGCACAATAGTTTGAGAAACTCTGAGTTGTGTCATTAGATTAAGATTGCACTCATTATGAAATTAGACAATAAAGAAGTATATAAGTGACGCTGTTGAAAACAAAAATGGACAAAACAAGAGAATGTTACACTCATGTAACAATCCTTTTTAAAAAAATCATACATATTTTCAATACCTTCGAGAAAGCAAAATTTTACAAATACACATCTAGGAGAAGTCCAGAACTCTGTTAAGAATGTAGCTTAAAGAATGATCAGCAACTGGGAAATTCAACACATTTAAGATTACAAGTCTGGACAAACAAAATAATAATAATTGTACTTAACATATCACAACCACCTTAGTAGAAACTGACAAATTTTGGTAACCATGAGCATAACAATTCTTCAGACAACTATGCACAATGCAATTCTTCTGTTTGAACAACCAACTTTGCTATTTTTGTAGTCATTCTTTTTGTTATATTCCAAGTTCCAATGGCTTTTATATGCAAATCATGGCATTTTTTGTCTTCATTTGAGCTTCAAATATGCATATGTGGCATATGCTACAATGGAAGCAACTGCCGTAACGTTTCTGCAGGAATACAGTATTTTGCTGCAAAATCTCTAAAGCGAAAAACTGCTTTAACCCTATGAGTGACATAACACATTTAGGTGTTTAATTTAATACAGATGATTTTTTTTAATAAGAAAGATCTGAATTTAAGGATTAATATTGTATTAATAATTATAGTAATTCCTGATGAAAAGATGTTTCTGAATCTAAAGTCAAGGTAGCTCAAGTTATTAGCAGAAAGCAAATGGACAGCTTTAAATTAGCATCTTGGAAAGAAGCGATCAGTTTTCGTTAAAAAAATAACAGAGCTATGACAGATAAGGGTTGTAAATAGTTAATGCTTGTTTGTCCTGGCACAAAGGTAACGGCTCCCCATATGAAGTGGAAAATGTACAAATGTGGCAAGCCTTCTGTTTAATACTCCTAGAAGGTGTATCTCCTGAATACTGGTAGTAGTCAACATCCTGATTCCATTATCACATGCTTTTTATGAAAAGTGGAATATGTCTTTGCCATTTAATCAGGAACAAGATTTTATGCTTTCATTAATTAAATTTAAAAGCTGTATAATATACTATGTATATAATTACAAAATAATTATTTTGAAAACAAAACACAAACATGCCTAGTTATTTTTGTGCATTAAGCTGCAGAAAAACTATCATTAAAGACAAAGTAAGAAATCCAGAACTAATATTTCACAAAGATCATAATTTGAAATTCATAATTAATAAATTTCAAATAATTTTAGAAATGCAATAATTAATTTAAAAATTTCAAAACCAAAACATTTCAAACGAGCAAAAACCCTCTTAAAAAAATTATGAAATTAAATTAAAAGAAAAATTAACAAAAACAGAAGAATTCAATCAATCTCAATGTCACTTCATCGGGGAAGGGGACCTTGAAATTAAATTTAAATCTCTCCTCTACAAAAATCCTTGCTTTTCTGTATCCACAATTAGCGGATGAACCATTTCAATGTATTTAAATTATAATTATAATAGTTCATCCGAAAATTCTGGCTCTTCCCCAAAGCAAGGGAAATTTTTTTTTAAAATTATAAACATTAGAATAATCTTAAATAAAGAGAATTCTATCCCTTTAAAAGAATTGAAAACGAAAGTGAAAAACAAAACTTCAGTGAAAAATGTTCTTTTTTCAATGAAAAATTACCCACACCCTTACCTTTAATTACCCAAAAAATTTCAAGCGTATATCTACAGCAGATTTTGAGAAATGGTACATCGAAAATGGCCATTTTAACATTGTCGGTATAGGGGTTGCCGATACCCCTTAAGAAGTTCAACAGTTGCACAAATGATGTGATTATACAAAGAAGAAAATCAAGTAGACTAATTCCACCACATTGAATAGTATTTTTGAAATAATAAAATATATATAATGTAAGATATTTATAATTTTTTGTTATATTTTGTATTTAAAAATTTTATTCACTTACAGAATTAAGAAAATAAAATATAAAATAAATATCTTCCAGCGTTTTTTTTTTTTTTTTTTTTTCCTCAAATTTTACTACATTATTCTTTGCGATTTAAGTGACTGCAAGTAAACCAAAAGTCTTGGGAACTGTAAGTGGTTATCTTAGAAAGTGTTCACTACATGTGCTTACAAATTAATTTTCTGCAGAAGCGTTACATATTTCTTGACATCATACATTACAAGATCTTTAATTTAAACAAAAATTAACTTTATTATTACCTAGGATGCACATGCATGTAACTATCTAATAAAACTAGCTTAAAAAAGACTATTTTATAAATTGAGAAAGGTATTACATAAAATATAATTTTCATATGCGAGTTTTGTCACTTTTGTCCAGCTAACCCCACGCAAAACAACAGATATCAAAAGGTTCAAAAATCCCATGAAGACATTATTTTAAATAGAAGGGGGGGAAATCTAATGAGATAATCAAAATTATGCAATCAAGTAACCTTAGTCTGGTATAGATTTTGAACAAAATCTCTCAAAATGTTCATCTTCTTTAGCAGCAAAAGATTTCTTGCTCCTAAAAAAACGGCATCTGTATTTAATTACCCTCGATACTGACAGAAATTTATTCAAAATGTATGCCAAAATAAGGTTGCTGTTTTGCTAATTTTAATCTATATCGTGTAGTGAAAAATTTATATGTAACTACAAGGCACAGTTTTACAAACTCGTAAAAAAAGTAATTTTAGAGCACTTTTCAAGTAAACAAAGAGTTATTTATAAATATAACTGTATCTTAAGACAAAATATATTCTATAATAAAGATTCAGATTTCAGGCAAATAAATGAATTACGTTAAATACATTGCTGGATAATTAAAGATTACTCATATTATTACACTGATGAAAGATTAAATTTTGTGTTATACAGTACACAAAATTCTCTAATCCGGACGTCCATTATCCAGAATGATCTATAATCCGGACCTCAAAGCCACAAACTTACGCATGCACGTAAAGCCAGTAAAGTGTTTACCAATGCGCACTTCCAATAGTGAAAAAAGTCACAGAAAACATTATTGAAAACGAAAAATTTTTTATTGACAAGTTAGTCGGTATTCTCGACACAGCAATTACATGACTTGAACAGTGGAACTTTGTAACTGAACAAGAAATTATGTCTGTTTATAGAATTAAAGAGAAAGTATTAGCACAAAAAACAAAGCAACTTAAACAACTTACATTGATAGAAATGTTTACTAAAGTAAACAAATAAATATTAAGTTTTTTTTTTTTTTTTAATTTTGATATCTTTTAGACTTTAGATCATGATTGCTCTTTATTTCATAAATTATGGTTTCATATTTTTAATTGTATTATTTCTGCATGCCATCTTACAAGATTTAAATTGATGACCTATAATCCGGAAAAACCCCTAATTCGGAACCGCCGAAGTCCTGATGAGTCTGGATTACGGACTTTGTACTGTAATGAAATTTGACAAATTTTTATATATGCATAATATTACAAAATTTCTAATATAAAAAAAGTTCACACACCTCTGGATAATCCTGAAGCAGAAGAACTCTCTGTACTCCCTTGTGAACTACTCTGATTCCCTAAACGGATCTTATTGGTAGCACCTTTAGATAGAGTCTAGAAAAAGAAAACTACTTTAAAAACTATACCTAAAACACACTTGAAAAACATATAATACTCAAATTAGTTTAACACTACATCCAATACAACTTTATATAAGGAGGTAGAAATTTAATAAAAATTTTGTCAGAAAACTTTCCCGGAAGTGAGTATTGAAAAAACTTGTTATTTCGTGCATCAGAATTCCACAATATAACTTTTAAATCTTATCAGCTGCTTTGAATACAGTTTGCCACTAAGTATTTATTACTATTATGACTGAAAAGCTTCTTAATATTTCAAAATTTGAGAAAATAAAAATACTTGCATGTAAATTTAAATCTTCATCATCAATTCCAAGCTATCTTTCATAAGAAGCAGCAGTTTCAATTCTTCTTTAGACAGATATCTTAAAGGAAAAAATTGAACTTCTTTGGCCAAATTACATCACAAGATTTACGGTCAATGATTAAAAAAAAATAGGGTCTTCAGATATTTTTTATTTAACTTTATTATAAATTTACCACACATTACGATTTTCCTTATGCATTTTTTAAAGTAAAATATTATAAAATGTAAAACAAAAAGTGAAATATCCTTGAATATGTTCACTAATAGCACTATAAGCAATCCAATATTACAGGCAGATACATACAATCCAGTGACAACTTGTACGTTTACAGCAGTTCAATCTCGTGACATACAACTGACATACCAAAATCGCTATACCACATCAGAGACAATAAACAAATTACAAGGATTGGATTTAGATTTCTTAGAATATGGCAAAGCCCATGAAGGCTACTTGCCTTGAAGCTATGCCTTTGTGGATGACTTTCAAAGGAAATTGGCTCATATTTACATCATACATTATAAGGTATTTTCTCCCTCGTCATCACATGCCTAACTGGGTAGCATGTCTGGCTGGTAATCGGGAGGTGTGGCATTTATAACCCAGCAAGAAAAAAAAGAAGAAAAAAAAGAAACTCTAATGACTCTATAAGCGGCACCTGATTGAACTAAAAAGTTGTTATAGATAATAATTCGTCACTACCAAGATTTGGAGACTGGATTACTTCCACCCCAGTCACCCTTTAAGGGGGGGAGTACGTAAGGAATTTTCTCCCTCCTTACCATGTGCCTCTGTGGTTTAATTGGATGGGATGGCATGGCTGGTGATTGGGACATCTGGTATTTGAATCCCAGTAAGAACAGAGCACATTTTTCATGTCTCCTGCTTTAAAAAACCTAATGACTTTACAACGTGGAATATACACCACGAAAACAACTATGCAGCCATTCCATTTGCCAGTATTTGAACTCAAATCAAAGAATCAATGTTCAGCAGTTCACTTAACAACTAATGGGACCTACAAGAGTTATTGCAGTATATGCTTTGTGCAGTCTATCTCCCACAAGGTAGACAAACTATAATGACAACACAGTGACTGATGTACACTTAGTCACTGTGTTAAATTAATTAAAGCCCATCACCAGAAAATATGCGATTAAAGCCTGTCACCAGAATTAAAATCACAGCTGCAAATATGTGTGGCATGCCAGGTATCTTTCAAAGTGTCTACCAATCACTATTTTTTCCCTTATGCAGTTATCATTAAATAGAATTATGACATCCAGAAGAATATTCATCATTAAAATGACTTTTTATTTCCTATGCTCATCATACTATGCTTCCGCACTCACATTTCACATTTCTGTATTACAAAAACTGTTACTTTTCTTAAAGTCATGACCATCTTTCATGTCACACCTTCTATATGCTGATATGTAACAATAGATACTTAAGTGTTGTATTCACACAGAAGATCAAGATGAATGCCTTGATGGTTAGAAAGAAGATATAGACATGGCCAATTAATACACTTCTTTATACTTAGCATGACAGTCCAACAGCCCTGAAAATATACATGGCTAAAATATTGCTACACAAATGCCTAGTTTTCCATAATTATACGCACAGACTTACATATTCATAGCCCTACAACAGGTGATTAAAAATAACTGTGGACAAGACAATAACTGTACAGAGGCTAGTGTGAGAAGAACAAAGTACAGAGGCTAGTTAGTGTGAGAAGGACAAAGGTTATGATATTCACAGGGTGGCCACTCAAAGAGGAGAATGAAATTCCCTGACTTTCCCAGATTTTCCAGGTGTGTTTCAAGAAAATTTCAGGCTATTCGCATAGGCTCTGCTGAGCATAAATTAATTATGGTAACACTTGAAAACACAAAAATTTGTCAATTACATGTGACTTTATACAGTAGACGCCCGTTTTTACGAACTCGTAGGGACTACGAAAACAGTTCGTTAAATCGAGAGTTCGTAATTTAGAAAGGCATCGGAAATTGTTAGTATTTCACATTTTAATGTTTTCGAGACAGGTTAGTGATACTATTCCATGCTTTTATTTATGTATTAGGAATTATCTTTAATAGTATTACTACTTAATAAATGATATCCATTCTATTAAAAAAACAAGAAATATAAAATATTTGTGAAACGTACCTTTATTAAGTCATTGACAACAAAATAATCACTTATCTTTGTCTGTTTTAAAACAACAGATTGTACAATGCAAGACTCCATCTCCTCTATATTTGTTAGCATTTCACAATTATCACTGGCCTCAAAAAATCGTCTAAGTTCTGACAAGTATTCAGCAGCTTGTTTTAAAGTCGGTCTTGGTGTTTTTCATTTTCTTTTCTTCTTCTTCTGATCTGAAAGTCTCTGATTCTCGTTGATTATGCTGCTAATAATATCGTGATCCGATATTTCCTCCGTGCATATGACATTAGAATCCACATTTAAAAAATCCTCGAACGAAAGTTCTGGCAACTGTGGATTTTCACGGCGAAGTTCATGCATGAGAACCTCATCTTCGTCGTGAGATCTATTGTCATGGATTTCTCAGTTAGTCTGTTTCTTAATAAACATGGTCGAAAGGCTTTAGAAATTGTTTCATCTAAAATCATCCATGCACCTGATGATAAATGCATTGCACCAAGAATATCAATCTGATAAGGCTGTTCCCTTCCAAGCCAAGGATTACTCTTTGCAAGAGCACTGTCTTGATTTTCGCTTGAAACTATTGATTATCCCCTGATCCATTGGCTGTAAAACTGCAGTTGCATTTGTGGGGGATATTCCACACGGATTGCCTGAAGCCCAGTGACTTCATGGTGTGCAGTACAATTGTCCACGATTAGGAGAATTTGCGCTTCTCTGCTGGAAAACGGTTATCTAAATCTCTCAACCATTTTTCGTAGATGTTGTGCCAGTCATCCAGGCCTTATTATTAGCATTAATAGCAGCAGGAATCTTCTGAACATTTTTGAAACACTTGGTTTCAGATATTTTCCAATAAAGAGCAGAGGCAATTTTTGTGACCAGTCAGTCATTGGCTGGAATCAAACTGTAAGTCTCTCTTTAGCTTTATTACCTCCAACACATTTATCTCCTTTGTAAGCTAATGTTCTTTCTGGCAAATCTTAAAAAACAAGCCGTTTCGTCCGCATTATAAACGTCATCTGCAGCGTATTCAGAAAGAAGCAATTTCAACTTTTCTTCTTTCCATTCATTTGCTGATGACGTGTCTACTGCTGCACTTTCACCACACACTTTCTGGAAACTCAAACCATTCCGAAATTTAAATTTCTGTAACCAAACCATCCAATGCTTTAAATCTTGATGTTTAATTTGGAAGCAAAAAAGTGGCTTGTTCTTTAAGTACATTTCCATCAATTGGAATGTTTAAGCTTCTCATCTTTCGAAACCAAACAAGCAAAGCCCTTTCCAAATTTGGTGTTTTGATTCTCGAAAATGGGTCCACATTCATCGCTTCCGTTTTTAGCTCCAAAGATCTTCTCTCTTGCCTTTAAAATCGTCGATAAACTATTTTTAGGAATTCCATATTTCTGAGCAATTTGTGTCTTGCTTAATATTTTTTTCGTCAACTTCTTTTAAAATCTTCTTCTTTATTTCAACTGCTAAACAAATTCGTTTCTTCATTTGCGACATAGCTCTAAGAATCTTACTTAACAAAAACTGGCCCAATCTCCCTCTCGACTAACGAGACTTCACTGATTGAGTTGTCCAGATCAAATGACTATGACATTACAAAAAGCAACAACTCTCTTTAAAAAGCAACCCAAACCCCTTTAACACGAATGGTCTCACCCCCACCCAACAACATCAGGCCGATGCTTCTGAGAGCCTCCCACAACAAACAACACCATAAATTTGTCCTAATTTCAACTCTTCTCCGCCCCCTTCCTTCCTTAGTGTACTTCTTCGAATGTTTCGCACTTGCTGCCTCAAAATAGTTGGAGATTTTATTTGACCTTCACACTTCGTCCCAATGAAACACGCAGAAGTATGAAAACTGAGTTCGCAAAAAAGAGATTTTCCTGATTTGTAGTTCGTAAATAAGAGCGCAAAATTACATTACATCTATGGGAGTGTATTTGGGACCATTCGCTAGTTCGCCAAATCGAGAGTGTTCGTAAAAAAGAGGTTCGTAAAAACGAACGTCTACTGTATATATCAATAATCCCCAAAAGCATTACTTTTATAACTAAAATAGGAGTTGTTTTCTCCACTGACAATTGAGATTAGAATCTGCCCAACTGCGATTTAAAAATGTCTCTTCTGCACACAATTTGCAGCTAAAGGAAGAAATAAATCCATTTTATGATATTTTAAAATAAATTCAAGTATTAAAAAATATCTGCACTAAATTTCGTGATGGTATATCATATTACTGCTAGAATTAGTTTCACAAATATGCCAAAGAAAATTGCCTGAAATTTGAAAGTATTATTAACTAATTATAAATAAATTTAGAAGGAAGAAGACACATTGAAAATACGAACAACATTAAACTAAAGTTAATTACTTAAGGATTACAAACTGAATTACAAAAATTGACGGTATTTTGGCAAATTATATACATATATTAATTAAATGGTTAGCATAGATGACTGATTAGTTTTTTTTT